TTTCTGACAACGTGTTTTTCGGAGCATTACATCTCATCCGTCCACTGCTCCGACAACACAACAGGGTAGAGTCGATCACGACGAGACTGTAGATGCAAACCGCTGAATGAATCTGCCACTCGGTGGCTGGAGGAAAACGAATCCCTCCTCACGTCACGATACATTTTCATTATCCACGCGAACACGATATCTCACGGACAAACCGAGTAGTGGTAGTTATTCGGTTGTTGTTTCGGAAACGTTAGGTGTCAGCAACTCTCCCGACCGAGTCTTAAAAAATACTCTTGTGGATTTTTAATATCACGGCTGCTGAGAAAGTCTTTTAATTGACATTAGTGACACTGAGCCAGATGTTGATGCATCTAAAAAAACAGGGGAGAGTCTCAAGCTTATTAGTGACGTGGAGTTTTAGCAATTAAATAATTGTGTAATTCTTTTTTTTGTCTCAACAGTGGAAGATTATTTTTCCGACCTGTTTGGTTGTGGAGCTTTTTATAAAAACACTTTCCGTTTAAATAAAAAAGGAGGGAAATGACTCTTCTTTACACATTTTCTCATCCACTAAAAAAAGCCAGATGTGTTGTCACTGACAATGAGGCCAATTACCCAAATCACCCCCACAGATGTGCGGTGAATCACGGGAATAACTGCAGTGAGAAAACAGCTATTACTGCCACGGGACATCAGGGCGCTTGGTTTGTTATCTCTGCTGTAGTTTAGGACGTGTGCACTCAGTGAACTGTGCCGTATAGAAGGATGGCAGTATACAGCCGAGCCCATTATATATATATATATTCCCTCGTCTTATGTACTTTCTGTCTGCAGCTGCACAGGTGCCTTCATGCACGTGTTCACGTATACAGGCCGTGGACTCCTGTGACCTGACGTGTTCTTTGTGCCTCGGTGTGTTTGTGATAATTACAGTACCCTACCCTTTCTTTCTTTTTGTTGCCACAGGGGCTTCTACAGGGTTTCCTTAAAGGAACCAGGAGGTTTCTACTTTGTATAGGAACTAAACATGTCCCCAGTTGAGCTGTAAAACACGCTGACTAATGTGCACAAACACACAAACCTTAATGGCCCCACGGCCGAACTCTGAGGAACTTGTTTTTGATAAGTCTGTGTTCAAGATCAAGTCCATCTGACTGAGGCATCATGGGAACCGTCAGACATTCTAACAATTTTCCAGCTCAGCTCAGACAGAGAAGCTGTTTGTTCACTCTATGTGTGTGTGAGTCTATATGTTGCTGCTCGTCACGCTCGTTCACTGCAGACATGTTGAGATGACGGCACACGGTGCTGCCGCCGCTCACCGTCGTCTTTTTCACGTGACGGTGCAGAACACACACACGCCTGCGAAGGTTTGCACAGTAACGGCAAGCAAGAGCCAGCGGCCACACACACACACACACACACACACACACACACACACACTCACTCAGATATAGATTCAGGAATAAACATTCACATAAACTAATAATAGTTTTAATGTTTCTCTGATTTGAGTGATGGTTTTTCAAATCAATAATTTTGTGGCTTGAAAATATTAGGGCTTCAACGAGCGCTTGTATCGATTCGTATTATTCGTATCCATCAAATTAATGGTCTCAATAACAAAAACATACATTTCCTGGTTCGTGTTTCCTGGTTTCATTCTTTTTTTCTCGTGAAACACTGTGTTCATCCATAGCAGCGAAAAGTCTGAAGGTGTTTTACAAGCCAATAATTGTGATAATAAAGAAATATATAAGTAACACATCTTTAAACTAAATGCCTCATAAAACTAAAGTGTAGCTTTAAACACACACATCCATTTATATATATATATATATATATATATATATAAATATATATAGACACAGCCTACAGTCTGTGTGTTTAACCCATCGCTCCTGCAGCCCTGCAACAACCACAGATTCAGACGATGATCGTGGCTTCATCATCCTCAATGTGTCTTTGCTTTTTCTCTGTCGGAGCATTATCAGCTGAACCAACTCGCTGTCCGATGCCATCCTGTCCACAGCTCATTGATCACTGGCTCCCCCCCCCCCCACCGCTCAGGGGCCATTTGCTAGCGGCTCAGAGGGGATTGGTTTCCTGGCAAACAAGAGTGAGTCTGGCCAGGGATAGAGTGTGTCCTGTGTGGCCCGGCATGTGCGCTCACGGCGACTCAAGCGAGCAATGTTTTAGTTTAACGAGAGATCGAATACATTAGCGCAGAAAATATACAGCGCCGACCCCGCAGCTGACCGCCGCACTTCATAGCTGCTGCTGTTTCTGAGTGAGCGCGGTTATTCGCGGCTGTCACACACAAGCGAGGCCCTATTTTGTGGTGGTTGAAGAGCAGACTCATTCATTTGCCCTGTGACACTTTGATTTGTATTTGGGGGACGTCAGCTCCCCCAGAACTGTCCCTTCTTCATGCAGGCTTTTTCATCGTCTCTATTCCTAGAGCTTGTTAGCATTAATGAGCTGTTATGTAGCACTGGTGCCTGGCATCGTGTCAATATACAGTATAAATGTGCACTGAGGCTAAAGGTCCCAGGTTTTATGTGCTCGTTTCCTGCTCTGCTGCTGAAAGCTGTGCAGGAGTGTTGCACGATTTCATCCACTATTAAAAGATTCAAGGAAAAATCTGAAGTTATCAATAAAATCTTTTGTACGGCTTCATCATTTGGTCCTGGAGAACAGAAACGACGTTTGTGTTTATGTGGGGAAGTGACATCCGATCACAAGTGGTCACTGGAGACGCATTCAGGACACATTGTGATGTCGAGCGTACACAGACGATGGGATCTCTCCGGGCGAACGTTTAGACACCGGGTCTGAAGCGACCCTCGTGAGTGTTTCCATCAGCAGGACGGTTTTTGTTTTCGTGTCCCTCATTGTTACAGTTCGGCTCAATCATTGAAGTTTTGTTTTATTTTCGGACGCCAGTGGGGTTTTTATAAGCAGAGCCTGACTGATGTGGATTTTTAGGGAGATTCCAACACAGATATTCGGTATTAAATCATTTCCAATCCCGATTAAAAAAGAAAAACACAATTGAATAAAAAGAAAACATAAGTGCACATCTTATCTGCATCGGTGGATAAATGACTGTAATTTTCTTTTTGCTGGTAAACATTTGTGAAGAGCACGCGATCGGGTCTCTGCCTCTAATTGGACAAAATTCTCGCGACTCTAATTTCAGGAATCCGTAAAACTGCTGAGGTTTTGTCCGGTTTTTCACCCGCGCTGTTCGAGGACTCGCTGCCAGAGTCCTCGTGGATAATTTATCGTGCGGTAATTATTGTTTGTTTTGTCTTGCTTTTCCTCACAAAAACACCCATTGAGGTCAGAGTCTCGGGCCCTCTTCAGAAATCTCACTCTTTTGAGCGCATTCACATCAGATAATGAACTAGAACAAATAAGCCTCCCCCGCTCGCTCTCCCGCTGCGCTGGTGTCAAGTGTGATGACTCGTCCACATCCTCTCGCCGCTTATCTTTTGGCTCGTCTCGCTCCTCCTCACTCGCCCACCATCATCTCACTCACTCCTCAAACAGAAACAGTGATGCTGTTCAGCGAGAGGAACCAAAAGAGTGCCTGTCTGCATCACGTGTGTGTGTGTGTGTTACATTACACAGCTCCCCAGTACGTCAGAATGTAAATATTCACACACTGTATTTTATCCCGAAATGGCATCTGCATTTTCAGGGACAAATATTGTGTTTCACAGCATCAGGGCTGACAGCACAGAGAAATCTTTGTATTGCTGCCAAATCATGTTGCACTTCTTCCTCCTCCTATTCGACCTGGGAGCAAAGTTCTTTTTTCAGACTTGTCAACTTATATATTTTTTTTCCCGCTGCGTTAACAGTATTTCATCTGGTTTGAGCCGCCGGTGACGTCATCGGAGCTCATACAGAGAGCGGCTCTTTGCTGCAACACGTGGACACAAATGGCAGCCCTGGCCATTGTCCCATCAATCAGCTCGTAAATGTCATTACGGGAGGATGTGGGACGTGGCGGCTTCGGGACAGAAACACGTCGAGAGGACTTTTATCCTGCACAGTGGGACGCAGCGCGGGGCAGAACTTCACTTTTATATAAGTTAGAGTCTGTGTTTTTTAACTGGCAGCTGGGGGCTTGTTTGGTTTGACAGGCGAGCGTCTGGTCAGTCCTCCACACAACGGATGTATTGATTATACACATTTTATATTTGTCGTTTCTTTAACTGGGGATTATTTCAAATTTAGTCAATAACACAAACAAAAATCAAATCGAGTGACGACTCAACTCTTGGTATTCTTTATTTAAATTTAAATTAAAAACCTTAAAACTTGTTTTAATTGCAAACTGTGTGAAACCACTGACTTGCATTGCAGTTGTAGTTTTTAAGATTAGCGATCCGTGCTCCGTGGAGGCTCCTGCAGAGCTGAACAGCACATTTCACTCACCTGAATTATGCACATGCACAGACACATTCATAAAAACCACATTTAAACCAAATACCTAATGAAGTGGATTATTGGAGCCCACCCACAGCATGAGCCACCGTCTCTCTGTTTGATCAGATAATTACCACCATTATACACACACACACACACACACACAAACACACACTTCTCCAGAGACTGGTTTTAAGCAGTGAGCTGCCCCCCCTCCCCCATCCCTCTCCTCCTCACCACTCCTCTTCCTCTCCTCCTCCTCCTCCTCCTCCTCTCTGTATCCCTGGCCTTGTGAGTTATAGAAATAAAACAAGGTCTTGGAACTAAGATCTCCACTTCCTCCCGTCGTATGAACATGAAGCAGCTTCTTCATCGTAACGTCCATCAGGAACAAACATCAGAGTAATAAGAGCTTCAGAATGTGACAGAGTTTTCTTTGGCGTGAACTTTGGTGTATGACCTATACTGCCACCAGGTGGCGATCAAGATGTTTTGGCTTTGTTTAAACGAATCCTGCCGTCATGTGCGTCTGCGTCACAATAACAACGGGTTCATTTCTGTTCTTGCAGAGTGATCGCAGCGTTGGAGGGAGACGGCCATTTTGACTCAGCTTCGTTCGTACAGACCTGATGAGAGACGCTAACGTCTTCTACAGTTCGACAGTGACTCCGTCCAGACCAGGTAATTTTCAAGTTTGACATTCTTGCCTCTATAGTTAAAGTATGTGGACAACTACAGCACGTGTTTGCTTTTCATTTGGTTCAGACGTCTTTGCTCAGGATCTTTAGTCGTAGCTTTATCTTTTCATTACCGCCGTCATCACGACATTAGCATGTGGATGTTAGCAATAATCTAAAGACAAAGCGAGCTGCTTCAAAGATTAGGCTTTAAGATTTTCTTCACCCTCTTCTGTCGTCATTTTAACGTCCTCCCCACCCATCTCCTTTAAATTACCGTCTCTCTCTTTCACCTTCTCCTTTTCCCCTTTCTCCATTAAACTTTTTATGTTTCCCGTCCATCTGCCCTTTCTTTTTTTTTTTTTCCTGCCCTCCTATCTGTCTCCGTCTCTCCTTCATTTCTCCTCTGCAGCGTTGCAGACACAACCAGACTCGTTTGCTCTCTTGTTAATTGCCATAATCGATGATGGCCCTTCCCCGTGCTACCCACAATGCTGCTTTCTGCTGTGCTACCACCTACACGCTCTCCCCCCTCTCTCTCCCTCTCGCCACCTTATGGAGCGGTTCCTGCTCGGAAAGATTAGGATCATTACCTGGCAGCGCATCCAGGACTTCTGCTCAGTGCATTATAGCCTTAAACTTTACCCTATATCACGTTACCCTGAAGCACAAAGACAACAAACAACCTGAGCTAATAGCAGCTCCTCTGGCTGTCGGATTCGTTACCATACGGAGTTGAATTATAATCGCAAAGTGCCAAGAAACACATTTAATACCTTTTTATAATCTTTAATGCCTGGTTTTCTTGAGGCAGGTCCATTTATTCTGTATACGCTTCATTCATTTTTGTTGGATTTAAGTCCAAGGTTTTCTGGAGCTCCATGGTTGTCCATCAGACAGGCAGAGCTGGAATTCCCCCAAAGCGAGCCATGTGCTATTTTAGCCTTGTGTTTATTCATCTTGTAAAAGTGCAGTTTTACATTTCTTTAATTTAATTTCGGCCTTTATGACAGAGATCCAAGCAGAATGAGCTGGATCACGTTCCCCCGACCGCACCGCAAGGTTTCTACTGTTAGCAGATCATTAGAAAATATTTCTTTTACTATCTCCCCCTCCTTTTGTGTCCGCAGGCGTTTCACTGTCATTCAATCTCGCGTCCACAGTCATACGCGGTGTGTAGATGGAAAGCTCTTATAGGTGGTCTGAGAATTGGCTAAGTGTGCGGTTTAAAGGACCGGCTCTTGGAAAAGCCACAGGGCTGGAAAAACCACTTTGGCCGAGAGGAATGAGCTCAGGTTTTTTATTTCCCGCTGCTTACTTCCAGAGGAACTGTACATCATTGGTCCTTTTCTCCGAGGTGGCTGTCACCTCACCCCACGTCACCTTAAGGTGCTCTGCTGAGGGCCTATCGCTGAAATACCAGCGGAGTGAAAGCACAGCGTGGAGGTGTGAGCGGTGTGTTTTGACAGAGACAGTCACTCCTGGCAGTCGTCCTCTGCAGCACTGTCCAGGTCTGACGTTCGCTAATGCGCTGACTCTCCCACTAGTGCAGCTGTGTGTGTGTGTGTGTGTGTGTGTGTTTTTCTTAATGTGCATGGGAGGATTTGGGATTTGTGTGTGTGTGTGTGTAGATGGGTGTGCAGTCACTAAACAGAGATGCAAACCTCTAATTGCCTAGTCACTAAGGCCAGGAACTAATGCCAGCAACCACGGTAAGCGCTTCAGAGTGGGTGTGTCGGGGGTATGTACTACTTTGGACCAATGGGCTCGCAGCTCTGTCAGGAAGTTGTGGTTTGAACACATGGTGCTGCGGCAACGAGGGAACTGAGAGGATAACGAAAAAGGGAAAAGAGGGAGCTGCTCAGAGCCGGAGTGCAGCCTCTGCATTTTGTTTCACACTGTTCTACTATTGTGTTTATTAACAGATGCAGTTACATCATATCAGTGGGTGTGAGACATATTTAAAAGTTTGAGTGTAGAAACGCAACGATGCAAAAATGAATATAGATGCACATGTAAATGTATCTGCGTGGGCTGACTGTGAGAGTTGTAGAATCACATTACACACACACACACACACACACACACACACACACTCCGCAGTGGAAGCTAATGGACCTGCACAGTCTAAAGGCGTTTTCCTTACACATGCAAACGCCCACAAAAGGCATCAGAAGCCACTCGGCGTACTCGGTCATCCTGAGAGAAGATTGAATGACATAAGCCTTAATCTCTCCAGCTCAAATCGCGCCGCACCGTTACCGCAGGTGCTGCACGGGCCCGTGCGTGTGCATGGCGAGGTAGCGGCGTCACAAAAGAATTACAAAACAGCAGCATTAGCGAGGAAGCTCAGACATTGTCAGGAGGGTAAAGTGATATATGGGTCATCGGTTTGAGTTTCGAGGAAATTTCACACAAAAAATGAAGGAAATATGTCGCGTCCCCTCGGGGGGGAAACCGACACCTCCGAGCACCACCTCTGAAATGAACACCGGCTCCTGGAGAAGCTTAACACATGAACCCAGGTTGGATTTATAAGTGAAGATCCTCCGCCATGTTATGACAAAAATACTGTAAGACAGTAATTATATAGTATCTGTTACCTCTTTGTCTTACGGCCAAATGCTGCTTCCGCCACTTGTTCTGTATAAAACTTCAGACTAAGCTGAAATCTAAACTCTTCTCACTGGCGACATCATGTTCTTCCCTCGAGTGAGGACGTTGTAAATCGATGCTCTGGACATATGCTCTTCCTGTCTTTGTTAAATGTGTCTTCATAGTGTCTCGTCTCTATAAAAGCATGTGCATTTACCTCCGCTGTAAGTTCCCTCTGGAGAGCAGGAGCTGAATAACATTGCAAGGTTACCGTCAGAGCATTTTTCTTACTATTCCGTGCACATCGACTTTCTGTTCTCATTACAGCTCTACATACATTAGCTTAATAAACATTGCAGAAAGCGTGTGGCCTATCCCCTTCTAACTGCCAGGCCTGTCAGTGTTGTATTAATTTGGTTACTGTATTAATCAGTCACACCTTTTCCTTGTAATGAGGTGTGTAATTTGCTGCGGTCGTGTACTGAGAAATGTGGGTAAAGAAACAGAGATGGATAGGATTAGAGGACAAAAGAATGAAAAGCAGAGCAGGCTCCTTCCCCCTGCAGAGAGAAAGGGCATTTTATTAAATCAGATCTTCAGTTTATGCTCTGTGTGCAGGCACAAAGACTGGTTTTCCCTCGGGACGCTTACTGCCTGGCATTTCCTGCTCTGGGATGGCCCTGTCCAGATTAGAGGAAATTGATTTAATGGCTTTAGTTTAATGGCTGAAAAGGCTGCATCCACAGTGGATGCTTTCTTGTTTTCTCTTTCTTTAGCTTTGTCTCTGTTGTTCTCGCTTTTTCCTTTCTCATCCCGCTAATGTTTGCGCATAGTTTTCCGTTATTTGTCCTTGCATTAGGCATCGGTGTTTGTGTGTGTGTGTAGGCATGTGCGGATGCTTCGGGGAGACGCCGCTCGAGGAGACAGTGTAGCTGGCAGGTCTGTTGGTTTAATAAAGAGGCAGAAGTGGGATCAATGTCTGTGGTAAACCAGCTCCTACAGCCCGGGGCCCAGCAGGGTGTTCAATTAACTGCAGCCGGTACACACAGTCATCAGCAGGGTGTCCCTGCTCGCCATCGCTGCTGCTCAATGCACATGTAGGAACTTTTGAGATACGTGAGAGTAACGCCGCGTGGCAGCGCACGGCAGAAAAATCAGCGATGCTTGACCAGTTTCCGACATAAACTCAAGTTCACGTGCTCCAATTTCCAGTATCAGGCGTAATCCAGAGAGAATGGTGCTCACGCTGTTCTGTTGTGGTTCCGGAGGGGGTCAGCCAGAATACACATCCTTACCTTCACTTGTGAGGGTGTCAACACCCCGCGGAGCCTCAGCGACTCCAGAGCCTCCGGAGAAAATCCTCAGAATGGAAGGAAAAAAACGCCACCGGGGAAAATTTGTGCACAAAAAACAAATGTCCAGCGTTCATTCATGAAGCTGCAGGAGCCAAGTCAAAGTTACAATAAAAAGACATATAATATTTTACAATTGAAAACTTTTTCTATCAGCTTTAATTATTTAGTGTATTTAATTCTCATCTCACTGGTTCAAAGTTGGAAAAGTTGACGTCACATATTTGAGTCAGGATTTAACAATATCCGAAATACAAATAGAGTAAACTAGAAGATCTCATCCTACATGTTATTCATACTGCATATATTATGCAAATATAAATATACGTTCATAGCTATTTACACGTTATTTAAGTGTCACGCAGGTGCCACGAAGTTACGCAACAAAAGACGCAGCGCCAGCTTCTAGACTGGCAAAATAAAGAAGATGAAATCAGAGCGTTAAATTGGATTTAACTGGATTTAAGTTGAGTGGAGCCGATAGCTGATGCGGAGTCAGACCCGGGAGTGAATGCTGATCGTTAGTGGGTTTCATAACCAGTGGTAGATAGAACCAGTCAACCAGTCACACCTACGAGCAATGTGGAGAGGGCTGCTGGGAGGAAGGACCTGGAGAAAGAAATTCAACATGTGCAGATGAACAACTCACTGACATGTCATCCAGTGATCAGTGTTTATTCTTGGGCATCCTGCTGGGTGTCACACAAACATGTAAACAGAGAACGTCACCACCGCGCTGTAATAAACAGCTGATTGATAATAATATTTTTAAAAAAAACACACAGATGAGCTCATATTCATTTTCCCATGTGACCTGACAGATGTTCACCAGGAATGGATTTCTGGGATGGAACCCATTCAGAGTGCAATTAATTACACCACAGCGACACGAGCCTATTCCCCAAAACAGTCCGTACGACAGTTAATAAAGATAACCCTGGGGTTTTGACTAATGAGCAAAGTAATTATATAGCCACATACAATGTGATTAGCTGCAGCGCTCAGAGGTCAGCGCGAGGACACACA